CCGAACTCCGTGTTACGGATATTCAATGGCAAATCGGTCCGCAAGGCAGTTACCACAGTCACCCCGGCTGGCCAGCTCAGGAACTGGCATGCACGTCTAACACGACACTTTCTCAAACTTCCTTATTCCAGAAACAAAACAAAAAACCAAGTCAAGAGTGTTTGGGAAAAACAGTGACACCTTATTGTCAGAGCTCTCGTAATTAATGGCCAGCAGAGAAGCATTTTAACCCAGATTCTTCAATTTCTCCCTGCTCTCTACCTTCCAGCCCAGTAGACAAAGCTCTGCAGCCTTCCTTCACTACTGCACAGCAAGTCTGCAGCCAAGCGACACCGTATTCGGTGCTTCTTGGCAAACAAGTCCAAAACACGGCCACAGAGAGCGTGTATCGTCCTTTCAGAGCAGATCTGTTTTGCTTTTTTCGTTACTGCCACAAAGCACAGAAAATTATTCATTACCAAGCGCTGCTTCAGTTAAAACCTATAAAAATTAAGAGCGCGGAGTGACAAGAACACCACATTCTGCTTTGACATGAATTCAAAATAAGTTTAATTTAGAGGCAAGTTTTGCAATTTAAAAAGAGAAAAAAAAACCACCAAAACCCTCATTTGGCCTGACTGAAGTGGAACTCAGCAGTTCTGAGGCCGCAGAGCAGGCACCCAGGGAAGAGGCTCATCACCCTCCTCCTTCCCTGCTGCTTCCCCAGCCACCTCGGGAAGGAAACAGGAATTGGTGAATTAGCTGTTTTTCCTACAGTCTCTTGCTTTCCCAGAGAAGATGAAGGAGATTCAGCAGCAAACCATGCATCAGCAGTTATTGCCCAGGTATCTGTGTGTCCCCTCCACGCGACTGGAGGTGAGGAAGGGGATGGGATGGGAGACCACAGCCACCCTCTGGTTTTAATCTCAGGCTGAAGGTCCCCCAAATCTGCGGGAACCCGAGCAGCAACAGCACAATGAATGGAAACCAGGCTGTGCAGAGCAGAGAACAGAGATAACAAAAGAACAGGAAATTAAATTAAGGTAGAAAACTGGATCAACACATCTGTAATGAAAACCCCTGTAAGATGTCCCTGCATCTCGTTAAGCTGATTTCTCTGTGCTCAAGTGAAAAATCTGTAAGCAACATCAATATTTCGTGGAAAAAAACAATCAAAAAGTCACTCCCTCTGTTAAGGCTGGACTATGTCACAAAGTTTGAAAGCAGTTTCCCGGTGATTATTCCCTACTCAATGCGGTCACTTCTGCCCAAACAACAGGAAATCTGAAATAGCTCTGCTGAAAAATGAAATTCCACAATAATAGTAATAACGGTATCTAGTACTCAGGAGTACTTCACATACGTGAAGTACTGTACAAACATGAATTTCTCCTGATCACCTCCCCGAATCAGGTATGTGTTATTAATAGCGCCATTACGCAACTGCCGCAGATTCCCGTCGGTTCTTTTGCTCACTTCTCTCTTTCACACGCAGAACACATCCCTCTCCGATCTGTTTACTCTCCTCCCTTCCTCCGCCAGAGTTTCTCACCCACCTGCTCTGGCAGCCCTCCCCTCTCCGTTTCCATCGCTGAACCTTTTCACATCCGCAGGCGCTTCACGTCCTTAGCTCGCCTGAACCCTTGGAGCAGGTTCATCCACCTGATACTCCATCTAAGCTGATTATTTTCTTTTTTTTTTTTACTGCCTGCATAGCAACGCTCACCAGAAACATGCAGCCATCCACCAACAGTTAATGGTATCTGCAACAACCCAGGCTCCTGCTTCACCATCAGCCACTTCTTGCGGAAAAGCCTCATTTTTGAGCGCTGCAGCTGAGTAATAAAGCAAAAGTCCGGCAGTGGCCTTACAATGACAGAACAAATCTACTCCAGCAAATGCTAGTGGCCTCCAAAGGATCTAGTTTTCATCTAGTTTCACAAGGAATTCATCATAGATAATAATATTTGTGGTTTCTACCTAAAACCTGAAAGCCTTCATCAATTTTCACACAAATTCATCAGTATCCCCCGATACGGTATCATCCAGGGACAATGCAAGGGAAATTTTCACTCACACGCAATATTGCAAATTTAATCAAACACATTAGTCCCTTCTTTGCTGACTTAGGCTGTAACTCATCGATAACTGCAGAACTTCTCAGGGCAGACACTAAGTTGACAGGACTCTTTCTTCTGAGGCAGCACTTTTCAGAGCAGTTTTTAAAACGCCAAGCTAGATCTATTCATCAAAATTGTTTTCTTTAGATGGAGAACAGTATTAAAAGAAAAAGGATGACTTGTTTGCCTTCCTGCTCCAAAAGTATACAGACAGAAAAGATGAGACAAACGCCTTTACTGAACAGTAAAGACCTGAGAAAACAAGCATACAAAACCCAACGACAAACATGACCACAATAGATTTGCTATTTCTTTAAGCATCTGACATGTTCAGAGCTGTGAGGTAAAATTCAGATTGATTCTCCTTCATTCTTCTAGAAGAAATGACATTCAAAATGTGACGGGAAAATAAAAAGAAGGCAGGTTCAGACAAAAAGCACTTTCTCTCCCAAGTGCCTCCCGGAGAAGAGCTTTCTGGCTCTCCTCCTCATACTCCCAAGTGAGACACCACCACAGACAATCCCGCCGAGGGCTGCCAGCACACTTTTTAAAGAGCGTTCACAGATAACGACGCCAAGAGTAAACTCAAGTTTCCGCTCACCCTGTGTCTCGCATAGTAGCACAGAAAGAAAAAGGCTGACAGACAAGTCTAGTGCTCTGCACCGGGGTAACAGCTCACACATTCTCCATTATCAAGGCATGGAATAAATATGTAATAGGTCAAAGTACTTAATACCAAGTAAACGCTCCAATATTTGATACATATCATTCCTGTGGTATTATTGTGGCCTTCCAGGATCTCAAGGGGGCTACAAGAAAGATGGGGAGGGCCTTTTTAGGATGTTGGGCAGTGACAGGACTAGAGGGAATGGATTGAAGCTAAAGATGGGTGGGTTCAGATCAGACATCAGGAAGAAGTTCTTCCCCATGAGGGTGGGGAGACCCTGGCACAGGTGGCCCAGAGAGGGGGTGGAAGCCCCGTCCCTGGGAGTTTTTCAGGCCAGGCTGGATGGGGCTCTGGGCAGCCTGATCTAGCGGGTCGTGTCCCTGCCCATGGCGGGGGGTTGGAACGAGATGATCTTTAAGGTCCCTTCCAGCCCTGACGATTCCGATTCTACGATTATGTCATTACTTTGCAGCACATCATAACACGCTTGCAAAGTCTACATTCCCATTGTAACTGTCAAGCTCTTTTTACAGGTTTCACAACTTCACTAAAAACACATTCGGATTTTTACTGCTGTGTCTTTGTGACAACGTACATATACTCATGGTGTGGTTCTATCAATTAGTCTAACACCACGATTTACCGCAAATAGTCAGCATCAAGGCTCACACAAAGCTTGTCAGCTGATTCTAAGCACATGTTTGGCGCAATCTGCCAGCTCCTGGTGATTTCTTGGGACGTCTTCCTAGCTTTTACAGCTTTCTGGCATTAATAGCTCATTAACTGCTTTCTCTGAAGACAAATATGTTGAAACTCTTTCATAATTTCCTCTGCCAGTATCTATTTCTGAGTTGACAGAGATGTAATTCAAAAGTTTTGAACATCTTGCAAGCTTTGATTTCTCGCCACGGTTGTCTTCTGCTTCTACACCAGATTTCTTCGCACACGTTACACTTATCTCCACCTTGCAGTAGGATGCTACCGTTAGTTTTGGCCTTGTCTCTCTCCTAAAGATCCCCAAGTCACACTTATTTCTTGTGATCTTTTTCTCAATATTGTGCGGTTTTATTTTTTTTAAATTCTTGGTATTGCCAAATAATCACCTAGAAGATGGTTTAACTATTTCTGAAACTGTATTTCTATTCTTCATGCACTCGAAATATTAAGATTGGGCTTTTTTCCTGGAAACTTTACTTTTCCTGATCATACACATTTAACAATAAATTCACCTTAACAAAAGTCGTAACTCAAGACTGAAATCAATTAATTTCTAAGTTTTAAAGATCCTAAAGAAAACTGCGGTTAAAGTAGTGGCAAGCCACAATCGAAAAATTCAGTTTGAATTTCCTGTAAAAGCTTTTTGTGCAGCTCTGGGTAGAAGTTGTTAAGAAAGAGCATTTGAGAAAGCCACCGGTAATTTATTTATTTGTTTATTTTAAATGAAAGCCCGCCCTCTTATGTAAGGCTCAAGTTTAGCACAGCTGCAGCCAAGAACACAGCGGTGGGAAGACCAGAAGCAGCCTTCCAGCTTCTTTCCGAGTTTCTTTCAGAGTGTGCTGCTTTTGCAGAACAGTGAACAATCAAAGGAGCTAATCATAATCTAACGCCCTCTCTGCAACAAGAGTGAAAAGAAAGCACTTTCTACTTTGCTTCTTATCTTGGCCAAGAAATATTTGCCAATTGACTGCAGTCAAAGCGCTAACATCATTTTGGAATTAGTCTATCAGCTTTTGTACAGATCCAGTAGAGACAAAAGGAAAAAAAACCCTCTTCTCTGACCGACTCTAATAAATAAATAAAGAAAAAGAAAGGGAAAACCAGCTAAATCATTGGGATTTTCCGTTCTGTTTTTTAGCCCTTCTCCTGGTTAAGTTACTGTAAAGGCATCTACTTTCTTGAGAGGAGGCCAAGCATGACGTGTGAGTCACAAGTGACTTGCCCACTGAAGACAATATATAAACGCGACTTTGTGCTGGCAAGATCCTCAAGATAAAAAACCCTGGAAACCACCATGACTACTACCTACTACACACATTTCAGAGTCAGCTCAAGCAACAAACGTTTATCCAGCTGCTCGAGTAGCAGCACCGTCACAGAATACAGGGACAAGACAGTAACCGCGGGCAGTAGCTACCAAAGGACAAAGCTTTCACCCACGCTCAAAACGAGGAAGGTTTTGTCTCCCAGAGAAGTCAGATATCTCCAAGAGAAGTAAAAAAACGAGTAACACCTACTTTCGAAGGTGTTCGTGTTCCTTCAGGAATAGTTCTGTTCTTCTGTTATTCACGCCAGACCCACTTTTATATGATCTAAAATGTAAAAAAACCAGGAAGAGTTGAATATCGTTTTCTCCCGGCACTTTTCACTGGACAATATGACCTGACTCATACACCTATCACGCTCTGTTACTCTGAAGTGACCAAACAGAAAAGTTCAGCTATTTTTAACGTGATTTAGCATAGCTTACTAGTTTTACTTTAAAAACATTAATTCCTTTTCAGTTCAAAAAACCCAAATCAAAAAATTCTTATCTTAATAAAAGCTGTCAATTCAAGCACGTTTTTTTGCTTTGCTCCAAACACAGACAAATCAGCTCTGCCAAGTATTCTCCTACAGGAGGGTTGTCTCCTTCTCCCTCCCATGCCCTTGCTACAACACCCAACACGACTTACTCGATATCTTTTCGTACTGATCCCAACAGATTCTCCCTTTCTCGTATTGCCAAGAAGTTCGCTTTGGTTTTGTGGAATTCGTGTGTATAATCCTGTAATGGAACAATTACTCCAAAATGAGGATCACAAGGTCAATTTAACGAAACAACATACTCATCTTTTAAAACATTAACTGCTCTAATAAAAAGTGCAAGGCCCACTTACTAAAGTACCATCAAACACGCTTGAATGTTAATGCGAAATATTTTCAAAACTCGCTACTCTTGCAGCATTTGCTAACATTTGACACCTACAGCTAAAGTCACACAGGGAAATGTACTGTGATTCCTTGTCCCAATTTCATCTACCTTCAACTTCCTGATAAATTATCATTTCGGGTTGGAATCTTCCATTACTGGTCGAATCAGAAGGCCGAGTAAAACCTACTCACTTGGTGTGGTGAAGGTGTTCTTGGGTGTATTTTGTTAAGTTACCCAGATGAAAAAAAAAGGCTTTTCTGAACACTGAAAATATTTTTTTTTTAATGTTTGAGTTGCAATTTTACATTTGAAAACATTCCAGGCAGCTAATAATTCTTAAAAACCTTTTGAAAACTTCTTGAAAATTTAACTGGCAACTCATGTCCATCAAAGCCACCGTAACATTTAGCAGAATTTTTCATCTAAATACTGTGGCTTTTAAAAACCAGCATGTTTTTTATATTGTGTATTGTGCAGGTAAAAAACCAGAAATCAAACTGTATATGACCAGCTAATAAATAATAAAAACTTGCATTTTTAACATTATTATGCCACAAAAACATCACCAGGTTAAAGCACTGATTTTTAACATTAATTAGTAGCTTTAGCCATCACATTTGCTTCAATTCCTTTGAGCAGTTTAGATGGTTTTACAGTTACACTCTCCTGTCTTAAATATGACGTTTCGCCTGGCACTGCTATATGACTGAGCACACAGACAAGATAATTCAGTGCTCTATATTCCGTCCCGTTCTGCTGTATGAAAACCACCTACATAAGATGGAAAGCTTGACTGCTCTTTCTCAGCTAGGTACGAATCCCCAACATGACACTAAAACCCCATTATTTTTTTTAAGTCAGAGTTCACTGACTGGAGCGCCTGGAGAGAAGGAAAGCAAGATGGGATCGGCGGCACCTTCTGGTAACAGCTGCTCCAAACAAAGCAACAAAATGCAAGCAAGAAGGAGGCGAGTTTGTCACCTGCAGGATGTCTCTGTGCCGCTGTAACGTGTGCATCAGGGCAGCGTTCAGGGACGGGACTCCTGCGCTATTCGTGTACTCTGCCATCTTGTCGTTTATTCCAGTGAGCTGGAGGAAGAAAAAAACAAACAAACCCCTAAACCCATGAAATGGCTTATTCTTGTAAGAAAGCTACAAGGCGTAAGTCGAAGGAGCCAACTCTAGCGACATACGCACACCTTCAGAAACACTGGTCCAACAGCCACACTAGTACTTCCCCACGACAGAAACCTGCACCGCCGAATTTCTTAGCTATTAAAGTAAAACCACAGTAACTTGATTTACCTTTCCAAGAAGTTGTTCAATCTCCACAGCCATGGTCTCAAACATTCTGTCCTGGCTTGATCCATTTAAGAGGGGAGTTGTGTCGGAGCTAAGGAAAAAGAGGAGGAGAAATTACAGAAAAGTTCATCATCTTTTTGTGAATGCAAAAAAGAAGGAAACACTAGCGTCAGGCGTCGGCAAGCTCCACTGCCCAGGTTTCCTCAAGACATAAATTAAGCTCAGAAACGCCACATTTTCTTATAGTACGTGCCTTTAACACAGTGTCACCTGGGGAAAACAGAACCTCCCCCTCGAAGATATGTCCAACAACAAATACTTGTCTACTACTAGCACGTTTCTAGCACCAATACCCTTCTGTCCTCAACTTTTACGCTTGATTTATTTATTTATTGGCAGGAGGGAGCCCTGTGCTATTACCATGTTAAACCAGCTACATAATTACATCTTAATGACAGAGTACTAGGGCAACCCACTGACCTATTAAGAAATCAGTGTTCTGCAGAGCAATACAAACCCCAGGATTTATCGCAACGACAGTTTCACACAGTATGCCTTCTCTATGCTTTTTAAGATAAATTAAAACCACAATGAGAGGTCATACCTAAGCGGCAGGATAGAAGCACAACACTTAGAATGCCAATCCGCAGAAGTATGACAGCTAATACCTTTCACAGACTATTTTTGTCTTTGGTAAGCTACATAACTAGAGTATGAGAAGTAAGTTTTGCAAAGGACAGCAAAAACAATTAAACCAATTAGACTACACAGCAAGTAACAGCACAGAGCTAGAAACAAGAGACACCTGGGCTCTGACTCAAGAGTAACGCGATTGTTCTCGAGGCTCTCTCAGGGTTCCAGAATCAGAAATTCATCAAAAGGCTCAGAATGGATTAAACAATCAAATTAAATAAATACACAGAAATACACACACACAGTAGTCACAGAACTGACACACAGTGCTGGGACCTACAGCTGTTAAACAAAGAACGGTGGTTTTTTTAAAGGTTGTGCCCAGGGACACAGAAGTTGCTAATTCGTGCTGTGAAACTGCAGGGAAGGCCTCAACTCTGGCCCATAGGCTACAGGAAACTTGAAAAGTTTTATCGCATTAACACTTCAGTCAAACATGAATCTGCCTAAAGCAAACATAAACTACATATACACACACACATGTATGTATTTATCTGGTTACACATAGAGTTCTCGCTATTATTATCTTAGGAGAAAGCCAGAAAGAAACAGCTATTCCTGCCGCAGAGAGGGCTGGTGCCCTGTGGAACCTCAGACCAGCCACAGCTGCTCAGTGCTCCAGTTCCTCATCATTAAAACAGGGATTACAAACAGCACGCCAGCCCACCGAGATGTAAGGCCACATTTCTCTAATACTGAATCCCTGAAAAACTCCTCCTAGTTTAATATAAGCAAAACTGGAAAACAAGCCAAACTAGCATGCATTAAAAAGCCCTCTCTTCGGGTCGTACGCTAAACCCCGTTACAAACTGAAATTTAAACTCAGCTTCCCCTAATGACAGACACACTCTCAGGACACCTCGCCCCTTGCTGACCCACACACCAGCATGGCTCAACGCGGCGTCGAGACTGACCCCAGCACCAAGAAGCGCTGAAACAAACCTCCAGAGAAGCCAGCAATAAAGGCCACAGGTGGGACCAGCATTCAGCAACCCATACAAACCGAACCAAGCACCACAATCGATGTTTAAAACGTAAAGAAACGGGCTAGTACCTATACCT